GTCCAGGCCCTGTCCAGGACTGGGCCTGTTCGGTACCTGGTCCGATTCAGGGCCTGTGCGAATGCATCGGGCCTGAACATCGGTCCAGGTCCGAATGGTCCAAAATCTGTCCGAAAACAAAAAAAAGGTCCAAACGTTTTTAGAGGCTCAGCCTCTGGGCCTGAATCTGGCCCTGGCCCTAAAACGTGTACCTGGCCACAAACGGACAACAGCACACACGTTAGAAAAACAGCAGCAATCAATAAATAAAAAATATACAAATAATCTAAAGCTGGCGTTTTTCTGATGCAGGCCCAAGTAAAAATGCCATAGGGCCTTCAGGTTGCGGTGACGTGACCTGGGGGCGGACCCGAGAGGGGCCGTGTGCAGGCTCTCAGCATGTAACACAGAGAGAGAGAGAGAGAGAGAGAGAGAGAGAGAGAGAGAGAGAGAGAGAGAGAGGGTGGGGGGGGATTGGAACGATACAGCATGGCCAGAAAAAAAAAAGGAGACCAGATACATTCGCACTTTTGTGGGCCGAGCAGCAGAGAGAGAGAGAGAGAAAGGGCGTGGGTAGGGAGGTGTGTGGGCGGGAGCGGGAGTAGAGAGGTGAGCAGACAGAAGCGGGAGTAGGGAGGGGGGGAGCGGTGGCAGCAGAAGCTGGAGAGAGAGAGAGAGAGAGAGAGAGAGGATGAGCGTGCTCAGCGTGGTAAAAAAAAAGCAAATGTGCAGATGTATCTGATGCAGTGAACGGACCAGATACATTCACACTTTTGTGCCATTGAGCAACACACACACACACACACACACACACAGAGGAGGTGGGGGAGGGAGAGAGAGAGAGAAGATTAGCGTGGTAAAAAAAAGAAACTGTGCAGATGTATCTGATGCAGTGAACGGACCGGATACATTCACACTTTTGTGGCATTGAGCAACAGAGAGAGAGAGAGAGAGAGAGAGAGAGAGAGAGAGAGATGGCGGGAGGAGATTCCCAGCATGCTGTCCGTGGGTTGCCACTGCCCTTTCGTGGACATAAGCCCGGTACCGGCCTACAAGCCTACATGCGTGCACATTGCACGGGTCTACTGGGCCACATTTGCACCTGTCCGAAGGGACCACGGCGCAGGGGCAGACCCGCCCACATGGCTGACTGAAATGCAGTCTCAAACTCATGCTGTGGGACCCTTCTGCAGGGCYGAGTTCRAACTGCATTTCAAACTTGGGCCCTGACTGAACTGCATTTCAAACTTGGGCCCAGTTTACAAACTGAAATTGCATTACCGTTTGTAATGCAATTTCTAACTGTTCTTGTGACCCCCGCGTAGTTTTTCCCCTAACAGTAAACTCGGAAAAGGGAAAAAAAACATGCAGATGGCTATGGTCTTTTCGTTAGCTGCTTTGCGTGTCTGTGTGTTGTCATATTTGCTATACACACACAAAAAAAGAAAGCATGGCTGTGCCACACTGTTCGGCCGGACGCTCACCTACTCATCAGGAGGTTGAGTCGGACAGTAGGCTCAGGGCATTCGGCTGATGGATAACGACTCACCACATCGCCCAAAGTTAACGATTTGTGTGCAATATTTGTGCTGTGTCTTTTTTTTTTTTTTTTTTTTCCCCTTCCCTGTCCCCCTTAGTTTGTAAATCTCAATTGTACCCTTCGGAACATCCATTAAATTTGGTTAAAATTGGAATGAGACAGAGAAGATTAGCATGGCCCCTGCGATGACACACACAAATCCCTTTTTTTTCCTTTTTTCCCCAAAACATGGGCCCA